AAATCACTTAAAAGACTTAATTTGATTTGGAAATTTTGTGACCCTAAGGCTCTAATGCTCTAAGGGGCATTTCGGGCAGTGTATCTTGTGGCCCTCTGGCTTGGCGTGCAATTCAATTAAAGTTGCATAAGGCCATTGCGGACAATGGCACCGCGCCGGTCTTGGCCAAGTGAAATGTTCACTTTGATTTGCCACCCACAGCCACACCACCCACCCAATCAGCCAAACCACCCAGTCACCCATCCAGTCACTTTCTTCACTCCCCTCCCTGCTGTCCATTTTTGTGACAAGAATGAATGAACAATGGCTTGAATGTCCTTGGCAGTTTGACTAAAAAAAAAGCAAAAAAAAAAGCATCCTTCAGGGCAAATATTGGAATGAAAATTACGGCAAAAGGGAACTCCACAAGGCACACATATTAAATTACCAAGAGTGGCAAGTCAATTGGCATATGTCAGCATGCCACAAAGCATGCAACACTCAGCCAGCTCAGCCACTCACGAGTTTCCAAAGTTAAATGAAGTCAGAAATGTAAATTTCATTTTCAAGAATGAACGAGAAACTGAAGAATTCCTCACCAAAACTGGCGGAAGCCACAGACCGAAAGACGCAATTAGATAGAGAACTGGTAGAGAAGGAGGGCGGGTAGCAAGTAAGTGGGCGTGGCAGTTGGCATTGCCAAATTACAGCAGCCAGCAGCTAGCAGCTGTTGCGCCACAAAGAGAAGGAGACTTTTTGTCTACAAACCCACTCGGAGGCAATTATTTCCGCAAGGAGTCCCTAACCAATTTATACACTGAAAGAAAATGTTATAAAAAATATTATTTAAAAGGTTTTTGAAGAGATGAAATGTAGATGAAATTTTTGAATAATTTTATAAGGTTAGGGTCCTTTCTTTACAATCTTGATCTTTGTACAAAAACTTTCTCCAAATATGATTTATTTTTTGTGTTTATATCTCATTAAATATTAATATTTTCTTACAGTGCCTTAGCAACATGTGTTTCTACTTGCCACCGCACACCCACCACATTTTTCCTTCCAAAAACTTTGCCAAAAAAAAAAAACAAATAGAAAAAGGAAACCAAAATGAATTTTCTTTGGAGGAAAATCTAGGAAAACGCATTTTGCGCGAAAACAGCAAGTAAATGACAAAAGACATAATTTCATAATTAAGTGCACAAGATACAGAGAGAGAAGGGTGTAGACCAAATGAGTGAGAGGGCTATAGAGCTATCGACAGGAGTGAAAGAACATTTCCTTTTGTTTTGTGGGCCATTAGCAAGTGGACTAATGATCTCCCGAAACGGACCAGAGGAGCTTCTGGCTCAGTCTGTAATTAATGACAAGAGAAAGAGATAGAGAGCCCTGGGAGAAAGGGAAACTTTTCCGGCAAACACTGGGAAATGAGGCAATTTCCCCCAAAAACTCACAACTTTTCCAACAAGCCCCCCGACCACCCAGCACCCAGTACCCAGCACCCAACAGCTACCCAGTTCATTCTTCAGTCTGTCAACTAGAGATTCGGTAATTGTCCAAATTCCAAAAGGCCATTGGGCGGGGGGAATATATCTGCTATAATTGTACGAATGATATATGTCTATGGCAGTGCTATAAATCTCATTCTGCTCAGATATGGCATTTTAATTACAAAGCCATTTCGGGCAAAATTAAGAAAAACGATTGAGACATTTTCTGGTAATTTGCGCTGAAGATATTTTTGGATCTATTAAGTCTTGAGAATAAATCTTGAGAATATAATAAAAGAAAACTGCCATTTCAAAGACCTTTTTAATGAAGCATTTCTGATTAAATAATAGACCCACCTTGGACCTTGATTGTTTTCCATTTTTCCCACCAAAAGCTCAACAGAAAAAAAAGAAAAACAACCTGAATGGAAACATACAAAACATGTGCTTTATTCAGTGTTCAATCAAGTTGTTGATTTCGGCATTTACATTGTTTTTATTTCGATTGGAAAATAGATTGAAAGGCAAAAAAGGGTATGGGAATGGATACCGGGTACCACCGGATCGAGTACAATATATGTATATATCATGGCAGCTGCGGCACGGCATCATTTTGGCATTTGGCAATAAGCAAATAAATAAATAAATCATTTGTGTGCATAGCCAGGCGATATATGTATGTTGATAGTAGGATGCCGCACATGCATGATATTGGATATACCAGAATATATATATACCCACTATATATATATACATATAGCACTTGAAAGTAGAAATGGAACTTGACTGCGTTGACAGCAGGCGGCGCCAACGAGACCAAACACCAAAAAAAAAAAACACTATACGTTTTATCCAGAAAGCGGCGGGCGCACATGGCGTATGCTTGATATTCCGCTACAGTTATGAAAATGTCGCTCCGAGGGGCGATTCCAGACTCGACTAAACATATTTCATATCTGGCGCTTTTATGACTCACACGAGCACACACAATCGTATCTTTGTTGGACTATTTTTAGGCATTCAACAAAAGAGTCACTTCTTTTTTAAAGGAGGGGCGGTTGAGAGACGTTTAAAAGTGGAACAAGAAATATACATTTCAAAGTTTAAATGCTTTCAATTGTTTGCTTTCAATAAAATAACAATATTGGGGTAATCCCAAGTCAATAGCTTAAAAAGTGACCATGAAATCAGATAAACGGACAAGGTGGTGACTCCGATTAAAATTGTAAGTCTTTTAGATACATTGGTGACCCCGATGATAAGCTTTAAGGCCTTTTAGAAACCATGATGTTACTTTATTATACAAAGGAAAAAGGAAACAGGACTTATTTTCTAAGAAAATATATAAAAGAGATATCTTGGTGACCCCGATTAAAAATTGTAAGATATCCTTTTAGAAACAACTACAATAACCATAGCTAAAGTCAAATAGCCAACTATACCATTTTCTAGAGTATTTAAAAAGACATATTAAAAGCATAAGAAAATATAAGAAAGGAAAAACCGGATATAAGGTATTTTTAAAAGCAATTTAGCCCTGCTGGCTTGCCTTGCTTGTGCTTTTTGCTTTTGATTCAGCTCTTCCACTGCTGATTCTTCTTTTTCCACGACGACGACGACGACGGTGCCTTTCAAGTGTCCATCAACATGTTTGACAAGTGCGCTGATTTGGCCACCTCACTCTACTGCACACTCGCCCACCCAGAGGACGGCCGAATTGTCTGTGTGAGTCATTATTTGGCCATGCTTGCAATTTCCGCCACTTGGCTCTTACCGTCCCGGAATTTCCCAAAAAAAAAAAAAAGGAAAAAAAAAATGTTCCACCCTCCTCAGTCATCGCCTCCTCGCCGGAAGTTGTTAGCCGGGCCAGGGCCATGGCGTCGCCATGTTGTTTCACAGCGTTCCTCCAACCCTAATGAATAATGCAACAGTCGACGGAGCCAGGACTCCCTGAGGTTGCCTGCTTTTCTGCCATACCAGGTAACCAAAAAAAAAAAATAGTATACATATATACATATATAGAGGATGGAAAAACTCCAGGTTGAGACAGAGAGTGAGATGCAAACTTTCACCAATAAAATATTTAAATCGAATACTTTGCCAGATAAGAGCTCTGGCAGGAGCTCTGGCAGGAAAACCAAAGGTGGGCTTTAAGCTACGAACGAATGATGATCGCCTGCCTGCCGGGGGATTAGTATCTTAAGCTAAGGCGGTCATCAGAGCCCTTCTACACGCTTCTCATGGTTCAAAGCTAAGCTAATCTAAGGTTCTATATATACTTACATATTCAGTTATTAATAAATATGATGAAATCTGTAAAGAAAGAAACATAGTATTAGTTTTTTTTATTATTTTTAAAAAGCAGGTACAATTCATTTTCTAAGCAGCCACAGCTAAAGCTGTCTCTAATCCACTCCATTCAACGTGTTAGCAAGTTGGTAAACGAAACCAGGAACTAGGTAAATATTTCCCATTTCAAGACAATTAATCAAATGTTTGCTTTGTTTTTCCAATGGATTTCAAGCTAGGGGGGACAGGGGACAAATGTTTAACTGGCCACCGCGTCGCGTCTGCTGTCATATCAGATGACCATGGCCTAGGGTTTCAGGGGCCACCGAATTGGGGGCGTGCAGCTTTGGGGCCGCGTTAATGGGCCAACTGACAGACAGCCAGATGATGAATGACACAGCGACACAGGCTGCGAGTTATGCGTGTTCGAGTGTAAGGCATCTGAAAACATGGCGCAATGTTTGCTTTAACTGAATCCTAACCCCTCCCAACCCATAGATATACTTATGTATATGCTCTATGGGTCTCTGTGTGTGTCTGCATATCTGTGCTTTGGGGCTTCGGGTGCTTGGCTTGTCATAAATCGCATTTGCGCATTTGCATTAGATGCAGCTCGTTGCTCGCAATGAGCAACAATGTCAAACTTACTGCCAGCCATCTGCATGCAAATCTGCATTGGATGCTATGCAAATCCTGTTTTACAGCCATGACTACGACTACTATAACTCTATGGCTCTATGACTATGACTATGACTTTATACTTATATGCAAGAGAGAAAGAGCATATATGTACTATATATATTGTATAAGGAACTACTCGGCATATGCATGCTTGGCTTAAGCTCGAGGTCTGGTCTGTATAGCTTTGGATTTGGATTTTGGTCTTGGCTTTTATTTGGATTTTATGGCTTGCAACAGGAATAAAATATGAATGGATTAAATCCAACATAAATATAATCTTAAAACCTTGAAATATAGCTCTTTAAATTATAAATAATCGATGGTCGTATCATGGTTGCCATAATTAAACATATTTTCATATATATCTGCTATTATTTGCTGGCTTTTAATTATTTGTCATTCCAAATGATTTTACAAATCACGGTATTGTACAAAACCAAGTACAAATTGTAGCTTATCTGTTTACATTAAATTTTGTTAATTAATTGGATGGCCCACTTTGGTTCTTTTGGGCTTTTCTTGGAGCTCTTCTTGGGCCTCTTCCTGATGAACTTCTTGGATCTAGTTGGTCTTCTGCATGGGAACCTTCCTAGGCGTTACACGACAGGGTTGGGGCTGAGGAGGCTCAGGGATCTCATCCATCTCGTCGGGGTCAAGTATCACGCTGATGTTCTGCGGCTTGTTGCGTTGTAACTTTTTTTTGAGAATGACAGACGCCAGAAAAATTAAGGCCAGTGTGCTTGAAATAGAGGCGTCGTACTTGTAATAGGTCTCATTTGTAAGGACCCCCGTCACTGCCAGTGGAATCGTAAGGATCGCTAGCACAATATCGTCTAAAACTTTCCAGCTGTACATGCCAACATCCAGAAAGAACACCGATACTGCAAGTTCGATGATCCACTTTACGAATGGTGGTACATCAACCGGTTTCTTGTCAAAAAGACCGTTGTCGTTGATCAGTCTCATCAGGGCAAAGGTCACCAGTATGGAAGACAGCTGTGGTTCCTTGGCGGTTCTTTGTTTATCTCCATTCACCACCACCAGGTAATTATACCAAAAAATTGCAGCTGCAACGATGACACATCCGATACCGGCCATGATACTTTTCGTTCTTTTGAATTTCCAAAAAAAAAATATTACCAAAAAAAAATTGTTTTTAGATCAAATTGGGAATTTTTTCGAGAGCTGTTCAAGATGTTTAAGGAACGAGTATTGCCAGATTTTGAAGTTAATCTCAAGGAAGTCGTTTCTATCAAAACGTTAGGTTTGTCATGGTCGCCAGGCTAACTTGATTGAAATTTTCTGATATTCCCTACTTGCTTTTTTGGATTGTGTCTCTAAAAATGCAAAGAATTACCAGATATCATATAGTTTCGTGTATTTTTAGGATCTTTTCGTGTCCTTTTCACCTGACCCTGTCATTTATCCTCGGCTTCTGTCACATTTAGATAAAAACCATGTCCTGCTCTGTGGATTTCCTGGCCAGATGTGCAAACTGGGCAACTAATTGGTAACAGGCACATGCCACAAAAAATAGCCAGAGTTCATCAAAAGTGTGAACGGGCTTAAAGCGAACGCTGCAGCGCATAAATCAACAATAAATGTTGTTGAAGACCAAAAAACAAAAAATAAAGCCAACAAAAAAAAACTGAAAGAAAAGCAAATTTAATCTTTTTCGTTTTTTTTTTCGGCTGCGTTTCTGTTTGATTTGCGGAAAGCGTAAGATAGAGAGGGCTAACAGGGGGATGGCCAAAAGGTTTAGGCCAGAGGGGCAGAGAGACAAGGCAAAGACGAGACGAGACCCAGTTTGCAAAGTAAACAAACGGCAAATGAAATGCCGCCGACTGAAACTATTAAAAATGAAATGGCCTGTGTGTGTGTGTGAGAGAGAGTCCCCCCTTAGCCCAGTTGCTGGGCCAGTTCAGACCTGGCCGAAAAGGAACACTGGCCCATACATAGATGTGTGGCATCTATAATGCATACTATATATCCACAGAAAGAGGGGTGTTTGCCTGAAACATGCAATACTTTTGTTGTCTTTTTTTAAATTAAAAAAATTAAAACTAAAACATAAGATTTATAATAGTATTTTTAATATTTTTGTAGTCTAGTTAGAAACTAGTTAAAAGCAATTGTACTTAATAATAATTTTAACAAAGCTCCAAGTATTGGGTATCTTATTGTCTGGAATATCTTTGTTATTCCTTCTATTTTTATTTATTTAATTTTGTATTACTTTCTATATCAACTATTATCTTTAAAGTGTATTTTTTCATAAATTTTTCATCTTCTCATATCGCCCATCTCCCCAAAGAGATGTTCATTTGCATTTCATATATGCCCTGAACATTGGCAGCTTTTTGCAAGCGTTTCGACCAAACTTGAAGTATTATGATGACCCACATGCATACAGTTGCATAAATGGTTAAACAAAACAGTGCGTTTCATTGCCATAAATATATATGAAAATTATTTAAATTAAAAAAACACTATTCTTAAAAGTTAAGCAATAGACTTAAACCCAAAATCTTCTAAGAATCCTTAACTATAAAGCCTTTTTTGGGTTTTACTTTAATGACACAGACAGTAGTGTTTATGAAATATGCAAATGACACAAAATCGCTGGAAATTGCATTGTTTTTCTATATATATATATATATCTTTCCCCATTCCGAATCCCACTTGCAGGACTCTTCAGGGGCCTTGATTGATTAAAGAGTAGAATTTGGAGAAAAAAAAGGGTTCTCCCAGTGAGAATTTGTCTTGGAATCCTGGCTAATACGAGGGCATAAGTCAGGAGCTCTGTGTCCATTATCCTGGGCCCCAGCAATTACCATTGTAAGGACAATGACAAATCATTCCTCGGCATCAGCATCAGCATCTGTCCTGGTCTTTGGACATCATCCAACCAGCCATGCGACATATTTTCATTTTTTTTTTCGCTTTACATTCCTTCCAACAAGGTCCTCTGCCTGGTGCCCTCTGACCTTTCACCCTGCCCTCCATCCCTCGACGTACAAAATAAACATCAGATGAATTCTTTGTCCGGCGTTTGCCTAATTTGTTTTTCTTTCGAGTTTAATTTCGAAACCTGGACAAGAGACAACAACCGACAGCCCAACAGACGGTGGGGTCGGGTTCTGTCCAGAAATAACAACAACAGGGTCTTAGCCGTCTTTCTGATAACTTGGCCACAGCAACAGTTTGCCTGCCAACTGCCAAAGACGAAAAGCAAATTTTCCTTTTCAGTTTTAGTCGTCCCTCCTCCTTCCGTCGAGGTGGAAAATGCTGGCGCTGCGTGCTTGGAAAATGTGTTTATTTAGGATAACTTAACTGATTGTTGTTCTCGGCCAGTTGACAATTGGCCCCAGAGAAATGGAGAAAGAACAGGCAGAGGGAGACAGAGAGTGGGCAAGTGGACGAGGACGAGGATGAGGGTGGGAGTCCTGGGAGACAAAGGACACTCGAAGGCGCGCCACGTGCACACAAAGCGCATTGTGGCACAAACAGTCGAGTAAAGCACGAAACAACTTGGCGGAAAGTTTCTAGAACTTCAGATACCCTTGAATATTTCTAAAATATTTAAGGCTTAAGACTTTTATTTAGATAAAGATTAGATAAATTATAAGCCACGTAAGTCTCTCCTTAAAGGGTTTCCAAAATAAAAATCTTAAAAAGCATGCTTTTAAAGCAAAGATATACAACAATTAAATAAATGAGAAAAGTATGACATATACTCTAATCACATAGATCTTATTAAAACAGAAAGTTAAAAATATTAAAACTCCTAAAAGCATGCTTTTAAAGCACATTTGTACAATGAAAAACATATTAATGAATATGTACTTGGTTTCATATGCTTTCTATCTGGCTTAGCCGTAAGAAACTATTATAAATTATTATAATTATTTTAACAAAATTAAAAACTAAGCAGTCTAAAAACTAAATCTTATTAAAGGGTATATAAAAAATGAAAATAAAAACAGAGAGAGAGAGAGACAAACTAAACAAACAAGCAGAGTGGAGGAAGTAGAGGGTTGGTTTATTGTAGCCGCGACCTCCGCGAAAAAAAACAACAACAAATTCCCAGCCAGCTGACCCACTTGCCCCGGCCACGCCCCCGCCCACCTTGCTGCCCTTGTTGTTTCGACATTGTTGTTGTAGTTGTTGGTGTTGTTGTTTTGTAATAAGCAGCAAATACGCTGCTTTCAGCGCTGCTTACAGCAGCAGAGCAGTCGACGTCTATAAATCAACGGTTGGCCAAAGAGGCGGAACGGCAAGGGCAAGGAGGCGTGGCAGAAAAAAAAAGAGAGTGAGGTGGTGGGGGGGGAAAAAAAAGTAAACGCGCCAAAAGAAATCACAGTAATTAATTAATATGCCTGTGTGTGGGTGTGTATTTTTGTGTGTGTGTGTGTGTTGAGTGGGTCTCATAAATTAATTGCTAACGCCCTTTTGTCTGGCCACGCCCCCCAGCAGCGCCCTCTACTGGCAGACAGCACTTAATCAAAAGATTTTTCTTTCACTTTACTTTTCCTCTTTTTTATTTTTTTTGTATTTATTTTTATTATTATTTTTATTTGCCTTAATTGTTGCCGTAAGTCGTTTTTTTCTCTTTTTTCTCCCCTTTTCTTCTTGCTTTTTTATTGCCTTTGGATTTAAAAAAAAAAGGAAAATAAAATGGTGGAATTAATGGGTAAACCTGCTATGCAACGGTAACCAAGCGGAATGCAAAATGTTGGCAAGGAACGGAATGAAAAGTTGGTAATTGAATGCCAAAAAATGCAAGAGATTCTTTAAATAACTCGAAACATTTAAGGATCTTGATCCTTTTAATTAGGAATTAATTGTAGGGCTTTAAAATATATTAAGTATAAGGGTTTTCTAGGGCGACCCTAGAAGCTGAAGGTATATATTCTGAGGTTTTTTAGATATTTTATATATATGAAACCTTTTTAGTTGGGCTTTAATATATTTTTATGATTTTATGATCTTAAATCTTATATTTTAATGTTAAAAAACATAGACTGATAGGAAAAAACTAAAACTAAAGTAAAAAAGTATGAACAACATGGCGTATACTTAATATGTTGCTTATATTGCGTATACGCAGAGTTGGTCTTATATTTTGGTCTCATACAACAGGTTTTTTAAGTTAATCTTTGTTAAATAAAAACTCCCATTATCTTTATTAATAAAAACTAAAAATATTCTTAAACTAACATTTATTTAATCACCATTTATTTAAGCCCCAACATAAGAGATTTTTGTGCCACTTTCCCTATGATTAGCTTAAGTAAATTGAATCTCCTGGCGCCATTGAAGGCCTCCCATGAGATGAATATTTAAGCAAATTACGACCATGCCACCCAACTCCCAAAAAAAAAAGCTCGGACTGGCCAAAGTTAAAAAGAATAAATCCTGCCAGCATATTTGGCCGAAAAATCATCTTCTTCTCGGGACTTGGGACTTGGGAACTGTGCGGTGGCACAGGTGCTGCAAGTCACTCGACTCTGGCAGTACCGTTAAGTTTGAATTATGGCGCACATGTGGCATGTGCCCCTTTTTCCGCCCAACCAGCGAGCCAGGCAGGCAACTCTTGGCCGGAGAGCGTGTCCATGAAAATCTGACACGCATAAATTTTGCTCAGAAAACAGAAAAATAAAAGAGTGAGGCCGAGAGGCAGAAGCAACAAGAACTGAAAAGGAGAAAATAGCGGCAAGAGGAGGGTTTGGAGGGGGTGTTGGAGGGAGGATAAAAAAAATGAAGTGGCAACTGCGGCCGGTAGCGGGAAACGGAAGCGGAAACAACGTTAGCGGAAGCGCATGTCTAACAAGTTGCTGGAACTATGCGGCCAGGCCAGGCTCATAGCGAGAGGAGAAAGGGCGAAAAAAAACTCGAAAAATTAGTAGAAAGTAGCTTAAAAAAAAGAAAATTCCATTCATTTGATGGCCTAATTTTAAAAACAAAAAGAATTTCAAGTTTTGTAGGAAAGAAAATCTAGTTTTGAAACAATAAGGCTTAGGTTTTAAGGTTTTTTTTTGAATTTTATAACGCTGGTCTATGGAGGATATTAAAAATTATTTATTTAATGCTATACG